GCCCCTGAGTATCTTTTTTTTTAGACCCTAACATCAATGTAAAAAAAATCCAAATAAACAATTCTACAAAAAAAAAAAGGGGGGGGATGAGGGCAAGTTATTTTCGCTTCTTTTTTAGTCCCTTTGTTTTTTTGTTTTCTTTGTGATCGAAGACGGGGTGAGGAGGGCACCAAGTGATTGTGCGCCTCTTCGAGAAGCTCGAGGCGGTAAGTGCGCCGAAAAGAATTAACAATGTCCTTCTGGGATATAGTGACTAACACTATTTTCATAAAGTCACAACACGAAACTACGCTCCCTCTACCCTACCCTTTTTGTGAGTCAGCTTTTTGCGAGCACTTAGAAAATGGTAATAGTCTTCCTTTCTTCTTCTTCCTCTTTTGCCCCAGAAGGACGCATCTTAACTCAAGCAGATATTTTTACAAATAAAACATAATGGTGGCTGACGTAGAATTGATATTCTGGGCTTGAGGAGAGAGTGAAATTTGTGAGTGGGGCCATAGCGCGGCTTACTTAGTACTCTACCCTTTGCTGCCCGTGGCATTAGTGGACGTCTATCTGGAGAACACCGGAGTAAACTGCAGTCGGTCCGTGCTCCGTGCGTTTTTGAACGGCACCAAGAAAGGTACACACGGCAAACGTGCGTCTACATTTCCTTGTTTTAACTGACGTTCTAATTAGTTGTTGTTATGAGTGTCCTTCTTTTTCTTTCATTACTTATATTTATATACTGGAAACTTTTTTTTATTGACCAACGTCGCAATTGAGGCTCGAACTGTTCGGAACCAAAGGAAGAAGAATATCGAGCCAAACCTTATTTATTATTTAATTATCACCTTACTGTTACAACTATGTTTTGCTATTGATATGACTTCTACAACTTCGCCATTTAGACAATGTAGAATTTTAGTAGATCGGTCCGATGACTCAAATAACGATATCCGATACTTCGTCGCCGTCTTTGCGTATGCATCATATCGTTATCGCGTACCGTTATTGCGAGTATCGGAGGTATCGGAAGGATCTACCAAATCTCTCGAATATCAGGCAACGGCTGCAACGACGAAGCTTTGCTCTACATTCGAGGTAAATAGTACTTCCCTTGCTTCGCTGAAAAAGCTCAATGCAGAGCATGAAGCATTCGTGAGGAACAATATGGCACTCCCATCCAGTGCCTCAGCTCAAATGGTGTTCAGCGTAGCAGTCGACATATTGAGTAAGAAATAAAGCAAAAGGTCTGACGAGACTTTCGAGAGCCAGCTCTTGCTCAAAATAGTCAAGGTCATTAAATGGAACAGGTGGCAACAATAAGAACTTGAATAACCCTCTTCCATTTGTTCCTTACTTGAGGACAATAATGTTAAAAGTAACGCCACGAAAGTAACGGATTACTTTTTAGAGTAACGGTCAGTTACTTTCATGGGAGGGTAATTGTAATTGTAATAAATTACAATTTAGCCTCGAGTAATTGTAAATGTAATTCCTTACTATTTTTCAGTAACGTGTACAAGTCTGGAGACGTGTAGCGGTTTCAGAACAGAGCAGTCTTCTTCATTTTTCACGCGGCTCCATGTCGCGAGGACCCACTCCGTAAATATTATAGACGCTTTGCAGCAGCTGTGCATGGACGCCGCCATAACTGACCTTCAGTTTTTCTTTCCTCTTATTCCGTTTATTTCACTTCATCATTACCATAGCAGGCCAGGTTATTGTCATATTAGACTCAACTGTATTCTTTTCTTAAGCATCGGCCTTTGTAGAGGATCGTCAACTACCGTTTCACTTGCTCGGCATCTCGGTAAGACAAGAGAAGGTCACCAATGGCGGCTGTAATTTGGCGCGTGTGTAAAGCGTCTATAGATCTCGCGACATCGACTAGTGGACATTCCTGTCCGTTTAACATTGAAAGCGCTGTACCGGCTTCCGCACGCGAGTGGAGCGTCGTTGGGGTGCACTTTCACAGACTTCACTCGAGGTCTCCGGTGGTTGTTGTGGGCTGCAGTCACCATGCACCTTTGACATGGCTGATGGGCCTGGTGACGATCGTGGAAGAGCCGGGATGACCTCGATGTTATCTGGCGGCCGCTTACATAGTTGGTCCGCATGGCGTGTTATCACTTTGTACGGAGTTTCGACGGTTGCCACGCGAGCTCCCGTTGTCGCCGTGACTTTTCCAGGAATCCACTTGTTTCCTGTCCCATAGTTTCTGGCGTACACCGGGTCCCCAGGCTGGATCGTCCAGTCTGTGTCTTGGGCAGATGCTGTAGAGTGTGATGGGAAACATGTACCAACTCGCGAGCGAATTTGATATCCCAGCAGCAGTTCCGATGGTGACTTTCCCGAGCTTGATGGTGTCCGTCTATAATTAAAAAGAAGCCTTCCCAGGCTGGTTGTAATGTCGTCGTTTTGTATTTTCTTCAACCCATCTTTTACAGTTCTTACCGCGCGTTCCGCCAGACCATTTGACTGAGGGTGAAATGGTGCGGTCCTGATGGGCGTTTTGTTGTTTTTCGACGTGAACTTCGAGAACTTGGCACTGGTGAAAGGTGTACCATTATCAGAGACCAATGTGCGGGGTATCCCCGAAGTGGCTAAACACATCTCGCAAACACGACACAGTATTTGCGCTTGCGGCCTGTTTCATAGGAACGGCCTCGATCCACTTACTGTGTGCGTCGACCACTACCAAGATCATTTTCTCTCTAAAAGGGCCTACAAAATCAACATGTACTCTGGACCAGCGTTTGTGTGTTTCGGGCCAGTTAACTGGTGCCTTTGACGCTGCCATGGGCAACATTTTGACACAAGCGTCACACGTCGCTGACGTGTGCTCTATTTCCTTGTCCAGTCCAGGCCACCAAAGTTGAGATCTTGCTATAGCTTTCATAGCGGACGCTCCCTGATGACTCTCGTGAAGGAGTTGTTGGAGGCGTCCTCTAGCCTCCCTAGGCAAAATGGCACGGTGGCCCCAGTATACCAGGTCGTGTGCCACCGACAGTTCTAGTTTCCTTCCGTAAAAGGGTTGAAGGTTCGAGTCTAGGCTCTTCTCACATTTGACTATCCATTTATGATGTAGTTCTTGACCTGTTCTAACACTGAGTCTGTAGCTCTCATTTGTTTCAACTCCCTGGTTGTCACGAAACCATCCTCTAACTGCTCCATAGCAAGCACATATTCGGGAAGCTCACCTTCAGCAGCTGTTTCCGCTGCTGCTGTTGCTACTGCCGGTACCGGTAGCCTGCTCAGGGCATCCGCATTTATCATTTCTTGGCCAGGCTTGTATTGTAGCTTGTAGCGGTAGCTTCCCAAAAGCAGCGCCCATCGTTGAAATCGCGCCGCAGCCATAGCGGGAGTCGGGCGGTCGGATCTCAGCAACCCCACGAGTGGCTGATGATCCATGACCAGGGTGAACTCATGTCCAAATAGGTAGTCTCTAAACTTCGTTACGCCGGAGACCAGAGCGAGAGCCTCTCGCTCTAATTGAGAATAATTTCTTTCGGCGGTTGATAGAGTTCTTGATCGAAACCCGATGGGTTTGTCTTCTCCACTTTCTCGGTGAAAGAGAACTGCTTTGATGCCGTACGGTGAAGTGTCGCACTCTAGTCGCAGTTCTTTCGCTGGATCAAAGTGCGTTAGCACCTTTGCCGAGCTGAGGTTTTTTTGCTTTCTGGAACACCGCATCCTGTGCTTCACCCCACGTCCAGCGAGCTCCCTTTTCCAGCAATTTGTAGAGGCTTGTCAACAAGATTGACATATTAGGTACAAATCTGGCGTAAAACATCAGCATTCCCAAAAAAGACCACAGCTGGCTTACGTTTTTGGGCCGCGGTGCTTGCACGATGGCTTCCACTTTCGTTTCTTCTGACGGACTCCCCGCTGCTTCTAGTGCTTTGGCTTGTACATGCGGCCTGGAATGTGACCTCTGTTGCCCAGGATGTTTACAGTTCCGGGCCCAGTGACCACATTTTCCGCAGTGGAAACAAGTCGTTCCTTTGTACTGGCAGCGGTTACCTTCGTGTTCTAGGCTTCCACAGTGCTCACAAACCCTTGTGTGTTGTTGTCGTGGGCGAAATTTTTCGGACCTCTTTCCTTGGACCTTCATCCTGAGGACTTCCGATGGTTCATCCCGAGTCATTTTTTGACGTCCAATTCAGCAGCTTCAGCCGCTACGGCTAGCGCTTCTGCATCTGCTAATGTCAGTTCCCTTTTTGACAGCAGTTGCTTCTGAAGGTTCTTTGACCGCACGCCACAGACGATCCTGTCTCTGAGCATTCTGTCCAACATCGCCGAAAAATTGCAGTTATACGCTGTTCTGCGGCTTTCGACTATGAATTCGTGAATCGACTCTCCTTGTTTTTGACAACGATTGAAAAACCTAAAGCTCTCAGATATTTCGTTTGGCTTCGGGTCGTAGTGCGCATCTAGAGCTGCTACCACCTCAGCATTAGGTTTTTGAGGAGCCACTCTTCCACACACTACTCGAAATGTTTTGGTACCTAGTGCCGCTACGAGCACTGCTCGTCTCTTCGCGTCATTTGTAACCTCATTGCCCTCAAAGTAAGCCTCTACCTTGATGAAGTACGTGCTCCATTTGTCCTTGTCTTCGCAAAACTCTGGCAGCTGGTGATTCATCTTTGAAAAACCCGCAGACTGGTGCGCTCTTAGGATGGACGAAGGATCCCCCTCGCTGTGGGTGTCCTCATAGTCCTGGCTCGTCGCCGCTGTTATAAACCAAGACTCCGGTGCCGACGAGACAATATGGAGACGTGTAGCGGTTTCAGAACACAGCTAGCAGTCTTCTTTATTTTTCACGCGGCTCCATCTGCAGTGAGGACCCACTCCGTAAATATTATAGATCTCGCGACATCGACTAGTATATAACAGGAATGAACTTGGTTTTGTCATAACTATAGCACGAATGATGAGTGTTTCATCTCTGGAAAATATGACAATCTATACAATCTAAGTATAGTGTGACTGCTTACAATGATAAGGTAACTTACCTGAAAGGTTCAGAATTAGCAAGACGAAGCTTTTGACAGATCTGGAAGAGCCCATTGAGACCAGATTTTCCAGAGGACGGTGTTATTTATTAACCACAAATTATGCTGTAATTCCGTAAATCGTTTTCTGTTGTGGTCTTGCTGGCTTGGTCAACCAAAGAATTACCGCAGAGAGCGTGGGCTTATATTATAATCTATGCTAAAGGTTTGCTAGGGAGAAAGAAAAACAATGTATAACATCATGTCGTTGATAACATGTATTCAAGTGATGCTAGTAGGCGTTAAAAATTTTACAGAAGGGTGGTAAACATTTTATTTTATGCACTTACATCTGAAAACAACATAACGGAAATATAAAACAACGATGAAAAAATTATACAAAAAGTCACACCTTACAATATTTCTTGTTAAGAGCGGTCCAAACCGACACGTATTCGGGATTCTTCTGCCGAAACACGTAAACAATTATCTGTTCCGGCGCTCGAAATAGTGAAAGAAATTTTACGTGTTGATTGGGACGGCCACACGGAAAACATGGGCGTATTCAGAATACGGGCGAAGGAGGGAGAGGACACATAGGGCGGCGGAGGCTGGCCTAGATACTTCGCGGTCACGAGTGTAATGCGGAAACTACAAGTGCCTCTGCTGTCTAGAAAATAGCGCGTTGTCTGCTCTGTGACGTGGCCAAGCTGGCGACATCGGTAACGTCGATCGGTTTTAGGAGCGAAGCTCGGTGCCGACCGAGTGGAACGACATCGTCGCAAGGTGACAAAAAGTTCCGTCGCTACTTAGCAGGAAACGGATAAGGGCGACGAAAAAGTTTACTCCCTCTCGCCGAAACAAAACAAAAAAGTTACGGCTGGGCAGGATTGTAACTTAGTCCAACGAAGCCTTAATGTGCGACAATGGTAAGACGAAGCAAGCATTGCGTACCTGATTTACCAGGCAACTGATGGAAAACTACGATATTTGGCATAAACACCACAGTTCACGGGACTTATTCGAAGTCGACGTTTGAGTAGGCATCCTTCGTTTAATAACGTCAGCAGAGTAGACGGAGTCCGCGGTGAGGCAGCACAGTGGTGGTGCCACTTGAGCACGTTCATTCCACCCACAGAAACCATCGTGAAGGAGGTTCACACCACCACGAGTTGTCGACGCACCTTGACGAACAGGGAAGCGACGCTGACAAACCTTACTCCGGCATAGACGGGCACATCGTCACCGACGCAGGGGCTTGACCAAGCGCAGGGATGTTGAACAGTCGTCGGCATAAGAGCCGAATCCTCAAGTCATCGCGTCGAAACTACCGCGCACAATAGCAAATACTGACATGCATTTGCGACAGGAGAGACGTAAGCCGGCGCATAAAAATCACTCCCAGAAGCCAGAAGCGGCGCACCCGACCGAGCCAGCGCCCTGCGCTCGGCGAATCGGCCAGGCCGCTGGGCTCGGCCGCTCGGCGTTGCCGCGTTGTCGGCTTCAGAAACGATCAGCGGCGGGAAGGACGCGGGTTTCGCGATTGGCCACTCCCTCAATACGGAAGCCTCCGTCACAATATGGGACACGTAAGGTTGAGACATACGAGTTCCAAATACTGGTGCTGGAACACGTAAGAAAGAAGCGGAAACGTCAGAACCGGAATGCGGCATCTATACGTGTTGTGGCATACGAGTCCGGAATGCGTGTCGGTTCGGACCGCGCTTTAGTCTTGGTGACGACCAACTACAAATATTTCTTTGTTAAAAGGAGAGAACACTGAAGTTACGACGTGTATCAGTATAAGCACTAATCGAGAATTTCGAGCAGAAACTTACATGCAATCAAATGTCGTAAAGCATATTACCGGTACTCGCTGGGTTTGTAACAATGCGTTACTGTATTAGATAATTCTAATACAATGAATGGTGAACTCTGTTCTTACGTAGCTTATTTTCCGAATGTTGCCCATGAAAATAAACTATGACACAAAGGTCGGCACATAATATCACGACAATTGTTATAGCGCATAAATAAAATATTTATAATGAGTACAATCTTGCTTAACTTCAGAGAGATTACTAGACACTACGTTCCTGACCTATCAGTCACCATTATATCGCTGTCGCGATATTATCTTGTAATTGTATCTTTATCGATGCGGCTCAAATGGCAAAAGCAATTTAACGGAGTTGGATAATATCTGGAGAAGCACATATGTAACATTTTCTAAGTTCTATGGTTTTTTTTATATAACGGTAAACAAATCGATATATTAGTATCGTGTGAATGCGCTAATGCAACACCTATGCAATTCAAATAAACAGAGCAGCCCAACGAGTACACAATAATATTTGTCGTAATTTATAAACTTGTGGTAGAAATCCTTTACATCTATAATCAAACTCCGGCAGCCATATCCAAAAGTTTGGACTAACTAGCGCTGTTTTAAAGTGATTAGTGAGTCTAAGTAGTTGAAAATGAAACTAAAAATGAGTGGCTAAGGAGTAACGGTCCCGCGGTATTCGGGAGCGCGGAGCAAGCGGGCGATTACCTAGTCAGAAGTGAAAAGCGGAACTAACGAGAAAGGATATGTCACTCATGAGTGTAATCTGACTCCAATGTGTAAATGAAGATTTTGTGATTAAAAGAGGATAATATAATATTTATCTATTAAGTTAAAAACACATATGGAATACACGGAAGCCGCGCTGCTAGCGGCATAATCAAATATGACAACGCCCGTAAACGAGGTCTCACTCGTCGTCCAGCGACGTGCTGAGATCGTTTTAGTGGAATCACTGACCTGTAGACAACTCTATTCCGAGAATATTTGCTGCTACGGTTCTTTCTAGATGTGCCCCTCAACAGCCCAAGACAGAAAATGCTTCGTTAGGACTTGCCTTCAGCAGATACCGTGGAAGCCAATACTGGCAACTCCCGCGGAGAACGGGCGAAAGGTGATTGCAGCGCCCCTGGCGAGCTCGGAGTCTCTGTTTGTGGACGAATTCCCCGAAATGCATTGGTTTTGCCTATCTCCGTGCGAGGTGACCAACGAAAAAAAATTGTCACGGACATTCGCTGCTTTGAAAGTTAAAAAATGGGTGCCACCTAATGAGTGAAGGATATTTTCTTCGCGTGGGAAAAATGTTACAGCTTGTAAGGTGCAATTTTGAAGTTCTCCCGAAGAAAACATTCTGTCACAACCTATGTAGGCCAGGCAAAACACGAATTATGCCTTCGCGCTGTTTCGTGAAAAAGGGCAATGTGCAAACATTTCAGAACATAGCTTCGTTTCAACCTTTTTGTTCTTGTCAGTCAATTCGTTTCGTTGTTCCAATTCCCATTTCTCATGAATGTCTTGCTTATAACCGTTTCGTTGAATAGGCGAGCTGGCTAATCCCGCTAAGATCGACTCCGGATGAAGAAGCAAAAGTCAATTTCGAACTACGTACGTTACGACGATGTCAGTATGCTCCGAAAGAAGTCGTTGTGCATATGCAAATATGACGGTATTATAGATTAATAGAAGCGGAGTTCCGTAAAAAGCAGACTTCTCGCGCTTGCAAAGAAAGAAGGGGAGAGCGTCGTAGCCCCGCGAAAAAGGTGATTTCAGTCACGTTATTTACAGTGCACAAATTCCGATTGTTAGCGCGGGGACGACTAACATCTTATGCTTCGCTGCTTTTTTACTTCTACGATAAAGGCCGACACCCGTTGAACCGTCTCCACTCTTTCCATTTTTCAGTCTTCTTTTATTTTTTTTAGGGACGCCACCCTGCCGCGTTCTCTCTTCCTCCTGCTTTTATGTTGCTGTGTACTTGTTTTGCTCTTTTTTTTTGTTTTGTTTGCCTGACGTGTAAGCAATCGCGTACTCTCCCTTTGTTTGGCTTAGTTTTTACTTTCTTTCCTTCGCTTCGGCGCTACTACCAACACCTCCTAGAAGACAAGGCTATAGCCCTCTGAGAGGTTACGTCACAATGGCGGAGGAAGGAAGTCCATGGCGCAACTACGTGAGAATACGTTATCGACGTGAAAAAAATGTTCCTTGACAAGCGGCGCGGTGGCGTTCGTTCATGCGCGTTTATCCGACATTAATATACGTTTTAAAGGCGCAGTCTTGTACAATTTATTATACATAAAATATAAACGTAATATACAACGCGCTACCAAGGTTGAGAGTACCAAATTTATATTTAGAATTATCCCCGTAACCGCGGGACTACGTGCAGTTCCGCAGCACCCCACACTTTTCGAAAGGACCGGCTGCGATGCTGCCGATGCCACATGGCTCCGATTCTGGTAAATTTACGTTGTTTGTGAGCTGCTGACTGTCTGAAAAGGAACGCTGAGACATCTCAGCAGGGAAGGAAACCGAAAAGAAATCCAGTCATTGTCGCAGGGAGCGCACACCAGCAAGAGATGGGTCGACAACGCTAAGCCTTTCGTCGCCGCTGGTCTCGTGTGTGGTACTTTTGAGACTTGTTTCCCGTCGTATTTCTGTCATCACCGTAGTCTCGGGTAGTTTTTTTTTGTGTTCGCTTGATACTACGGCATTTACGTGGATTCGTGAAACGAGTCCTGCTACGGTTTGAGTGACGTGTGACAACTAGCCAACGAAGACTCTGGTCGATTAATCGATAGACCTCTCTCTCGACAGAGAGAGGCTTCTTGGAGTTCGTGTTCAAATGTGTTCGTCACGGATATTGTGGGACGTATGGATACGATCGACAGGTGAGAAACAACTTATTTACGGGCTCTCTTGGTCATGTAGGGCGCAAGTAAAATGCTGTAATCGTTTTTTTTTTAATCGCATGATAGATTGCAATTTTCTTTGTCGTTATTCGTATGCAGTCGCGTCGACATTTGTAAATATGCGCGGTAATCTAGTTTTTACTGGAAGGTAAATAACAAGTTTGTCTGATTATTGAAAGTGCGTTGTTCGTGGTTCTGTGTTTATTTATACTAAGGTTATTGTATTGCCGTTACCGCGTTTGTACTAGAATCCTAACTATTAGGGTAATAGTATTATTATATACAAAATAAGTTATGTTTTGTTCTAAGGCAGCTCGAGCC